CAAGTAAGAAAATGTACCCCGATTTCCCTGTTCTCCCATCTGCCCAGACAGACCAGGCAAGTCATGCCATATTTCTGTTTAAATAATTGTGGAGGCCCCAGACTGTTAACTGATTTAATAAATGTCCATTTTCCCCACCTTTTTAAATTCTGTTTTTGAGATACTGTTCTTGGTCAGCTGTAAGTGTGACAGCAAGTCTGCTCATCAGCCAGGCTGGCCAAAATCCAGGTGCCAAACACGTAACAAGTAAAGGACTAAAAGCTTTCCATCAATACACCTACCTTATTTCAGACCTGCAGGGCTCCTTGCAGTCAGAATCCTTCAAAGTCACAGAGGGAGAAAAAATGGGGAGAGAAAATAGGTGTTTGAGAATATTTTGTCTGTGAGACTTAAGAAATTTTTCTCTCCTACAATATCTGTGCTTCAGTTACTCTGTGAGATCAAAAGCATGGTCCATTCATCCCCCAGGTCACTGAGGATAATGAAGGGAATCAAAGAGAAATCAACACCAGGCATTAGAAATGAGAGGGTAGTTTGTGTCCCAGAGCTATTTTGTTACAGTGATTATCCTGCAGTAAGCTTCAGAAATGACAAGCTGCTCACTAAATCCCACAGAAACTGTGAGACTGAAATCTCTGAAGGTATCCAGGGGCTGAAGGATAAAAAATAAGTCAGGGCCAGCTGTTATGTATAAAACAACTGCCTCAGTAGGATACGAGTCTTCTAAGCCTCAAACATCTGAGGGTCTGGGAGACAATGAAGTGGTTCCCACTTCACATATCAGTCATCCAGCCTCCTAGCTAATAAATCCTTGACAAAGGCGTACCCCAGGCATTTAGCAAATATCTGCAAATTAGGATTTATGAGGAGGGGCAGTCTCTTCACAATTTGCTTTGGAACACAAGCCCACAACAGCTGGCACTGGGAATTGTTAGCACAAGTCATCTGGGTACGTGCAGCCTTCGTAACCCAACCTGTGAAATCTTGGTAAGGGACATGGATCTGTGGAAGGCTGATGGTCTAAAATCACAGCAGTCAGGTGACATGACAGCTCTTCCAACCTCTGCTAGGAGTACACACAGCTTCTCCATCCTCTGATGAGCACTTTGGATAGAGAGAAGTCCCTCCAAGGCTGACAGCAGCAAGTTCTATTCAATACTAAGCTTACAAGAAGTAAATGATGTAATGGCAGGTACCTGCTGGGATGCATCGTGCTTGTTTATACAGATTGTAATTGCTACAAGGTAACTGCTGTGCTTTTAATTCTTGCTAATTTTGTTTTGGCTCATCTCTCCTAATCTGCATGCAGAGCACAGGTCTCCAACATGAACAATTGTGTGAGTTATAGAAAAAAAACTAAGCAAACAGCCTCTTTTCTGGTAAATGAGCTGTACTCAGAAAAGTAATTCTTGCAAAAGAGCATTATGGTATTCTCCAGCTTGCTTAAGAATTTTATAACACCTTAAAATTCTTATCAAATATGGTCATTTTTACTTCTTTTGTTTTATAAAGGATTACTGAAACATCAGTCCTTTGAAGTGAGTATTGCAAACAAATGCCAGCACTCTGATTTTCATGCTGAATGAATTGATGTATTGATTTACACCACCAATATGTGGGCATGGTTGGGTTTGGCTGCCCCTGAGGTCTATTTAATCCTCGTCCAGTCTGTGATGTTCCAGTGTACTTTGAGGTAAGGAATAATGAAAATCACAGCACAAGCACAAAAAATCTGCCTATTTCCCACATCAGGTCTCACTTAGCCTGTATACAAAGCCTCTTATTCTTCAAAGCATGAGAAATTTAAATCCTTTCTAAAATTAATTATTTGTACCAACTCTGGGTGATCTATGGCAATTTCATGGAACAGGAGACATAGAGTGACCCTTGTGAAGGAAGCTGCCATATCAGCATGAGTCTGAATGTACAATAAATACAACATTCCTCATCATTGATTGCTCTATTCCTGGGAAAGCAACTTGCAAAGTCCTGACAATTTCTCTTTGCATCATCAGGCATCAATAACACTGTTAGCAGCACCATTAACCTTCTGTGGCCTTGGCTTAACAGTGGTCAGTGACAGATCCAGAGCACAGCAGACTGAAGCAGAACCATGCCAGAACTGAGGTGACCATATTCAAGAACCCATTGTGGTCAAAGTCCCCCTTCCCAACCTGCAGCTTTGCAGCTGTACATACCTAGCCTGTCCCCCTTGGTGCGATGTATTTGCAGACCATTGACATGCTGCGTGGACACTGCAGTCCTGCCCCCACTCTTCTCCTTCCAGGCAGCAGCAGCTGGGGCAGTAGCACAGCCCAGCACTCTCCAGCCACTGACAGTGCAGAGCAGGGACACAGCCAGAGCCCTGTGCCACCTCCATTCCAGCCTGCAGAGGTAGCTTCGCCCATCCCTTGGGCAACTGCAACCAGCTACTGCCCCTGCTAAGAGTGATGGGGACAGGTTCCCTCTGTTTCTCCCATCTCCTGTTGAGGTTGGCAGTGGCAGATCAGCTGTCTGCTGGTAGGGAGGGACAGATGTGCCCTTAAGCACAAAATTATCTGCACCGCGTGAAACTGAGCAGAAGCTGCATTTCCCAATCTCCCATTCCACCCCACCACAAACTTGGCTCAAGCTGGGCTCCTGTGCAGCTGAGAAAGGCTCAGTGCAGGCTATGAAGAGAGAGAAAAAACGAGAGAAAAGAACCTGCCCATACTCCAGGAAGAAGGACTGTTCTTGGAAAAGGGACACACACCCACGCTGTAACCTACACGTCAAGGGATGCTTAACCATTTTGCATGAATAGCAGACTAAGGGTATAAACAAGCTGAGTCCCTTTGTGGAGTTGAGTGGTGTTTTAAACCACCGAGACTGCACACAAAACATCTCTGCTGAAATTTAGTTAATTTATTCAATGATGCAGAAAAGAATATAGGACCCATCATCCCCAGGCTGTGCTGAATTTTCAAGGCTGACAGAATTTATATTGCACAAGGAAGTGAGCGATGCTTTCAGAACTGGATTTTATGGCTCCCAATATACCTTTGTTTACTTCTTTTAGTTAAACTGCCTTAATCCAGCTCTTGGAATTATATACATTCTGACAGAAAGCAACTGAGAAGGCTCACAACTGGCTGTGAGCCATTGCTAGAGAGAACACAAAGGGTTGGACATGATCCTTGGTCTGAAGTGGTGAGAGCATTCATTCATCTGCTCTCCTGGCTGCCCACTTACAGACCTTAAAGCATCCCTTAAATATATCACTTCAAACTTCATAATGTCATGGGACATCTCTGTATAAAAATCAGTAGGTAGCTTTTAGAAGACATTTGTACTCTTCCCAGAAGTTGGGCAGGTGGGTTTGCCAAAACCCAAGCAACAGCTGTCATAGTGTTCTATTGCTACTATTGAAAAGTTCACCATAGAGAATCTAAATATTTAATCTGTAATAAAAAGTACATGGGTGTGGGTTTTTTAAGGCAAACACAGTACTTCAGGTATGTCCCTTTAAATGGGACTTCAGAATATGTGAGGTAGTTTTAACCAACTTTTTCTCAATCAATTTTTATTCATGTAAATTTTTACTCAGCATGTTTGTCTGCCTCACTCATTTTGGATTATGTTATTTTTTCCTCAAAGACTTTTAAGACTTATCAGCTCCTTTGCAGTTCTTGCATTTGAAAATGAGGCTGAAAAATGCATGGAATCCATACTATCTACTCTGCTGCAGAGTTTGGTCATTTGCAACTCATGTGTGTACCTGCTGACTCCTTTTGGCAAGAGTCAGCTTTACCTCTGACTGAGAAACAGGACTGAGGAATTAAAGCAACTGCAGAAAAACAGGCAAACCCAACAATAGTCATTTGTCAGACCATAATAGTTCCTTGGCTGTTAAAATAAATAAATATCTGAGTTTCAATAAAGGCCTAAAAACACACATTCTGGAATACAAAGGTAACAGAACATTAAATGAAAGAGAAATAGGTAGAGAAGGTAGATGGTAGAGAAATAGGGACAGTCAAAAATGAGGGTAAATGGTTTCAACTCAAAATAACAAATTTGTTTCTAATACTGCATTTGATGTTTTCACAGTAACATTATTCTAACAAACAGATGGTTCCTTGAGCCATAACTGTCTTTCTTTGAAACACAGTTTGAGACACCTAAATCAACACAGCACTGTGGGGAAGATGTCATCAAAACTTGGTTCCCTCTGGAAGCATCCACCTTCGTGGCATGTTACTCATCACTATGGGGTAGAGATGCACTATTGCCAACATCTGTACTTTTTACTGAAAATCCTGTAGTATTTATTGTTCCATCTATAAAAAGGTATTTCTTGGAACACAGTGATTACATGACAATCTTGTTTTTATATAAAAGTGCAGACACTCACAAGTAGTAATGCTGAATGTTCAAATACAACTAAAAATTAGTAACAACCTATTTCTAGAGTCTAACATTCTCCTATACTAATGTGCAAGTTCTAGCATTGATTGTTCCTCAAGACTGTATGGAGCTACTGCTACAAAAATAATCAAACAGGTAAGGCTACAAATACAGTCTCCCTGAGATGTTCTAGGTATAAGAACCCAAACTTGGATAATGTTATTACGTCACTAAGAAGTTATGCAAAAGTTGTGTTTGGTCCATTGTGATCCCTGAGTGAGAAAAGGTTCAACACCTCAGAGGACATGATCTCTGTTCTGCACTTCTGGAGAGCAATTATGCAAGGCAGTGGCTATTGTATCTGGGAATGAACCTCCAGACAGGTCTCAAGAGCTCCTTCTGTTTACAGTACTTCCCTCTCAAGAACTTGTCACCTCATCTTAGAGAGATGATCAGCCTTTTAATACAAAGAATTATTTAATTTCCCTGACTCACTGGTAAAAACCAAAAAGCAGCTGAAGTGGCAGACTTAGCTGCATGTCACACTGAGAAGTCACCATTCACTTCTGAACATTGATTCAAACCATAAGCAAGCCAAAAAATTCAGACCAAGCTGTAGATCAAATGCTGATCCCATCATGTGGACCACTCTCCTTTAATAGCAAAAGAATTGTGTTTTCCAGCAGAAATCTTCACTGTAGGCCCGTGATATGGACAGGGGCTTGTAATATTACATGAATTTGGGTTTTGTTGCTGTTTAAACAGTTTTTCAAACTCTTATGGCTTCATTTGTGATCTTGGACCTCTGAAGGGTAATAGGTTGGGAGATCATCATGGCAGACCGACAACTCCGAAGTTCCAAGCTTCAAGTGAGCCTGCATTGGGTTGGATTCATCCTCTGGCACCGTGCAGTTTACCAGTTGCAGTTCTTTGGTGAAGCAGAATTCAATCTGGCCAATTGTTTGTGCCTTTTCACCCTAGAAAGATGAAGGGTAAGATCAGCCTCATGGGAAGGAGAAAATAAATCAATGATTCAGCTACATTGCCCTATCTGTAGAACACAGTAGTGATTATTTGCGAATTTACTGGATGAAAAATGTGAAGTATAAGACGCATCCACTCTGAGCAGCTTATAGTAAATACTGTTAATCAGAACCAATCTGAGACTTGTCTAACTAGTAAGCCTCGTTATGAAATGCTGTGACACATTGTCCTGGCCTTCACTCATCTGCACAGGCCACAGAAGCTGTTCAACCCCAATGATGAGCTCTGGCTGAACTCTGTGAATATTGAAGGGTACATGTGACCAGAAAGACACTTTTCACCAACTCTTCATAGTAGGACAGGAACTGAGGCAAATAAAATTCTTCATCCATTAAAACACAAACTAAATTTTGTAACAGCTTTTACAGAAAAAAATACAGAACCAAGCTATCAGAAGGAGCAGAAGCATAATTTTTGGACTACAGGACAGGCTAGGAAGAAAACAACTGACCATGAATAAAGCAGGCAGGCATGTAGGCCTTTCATGTGGCAAAAAGTTTACAGAAAAATCTCCCCAAATACTCAGGTCTAACAAAATGTGGGAAAAAAACGGTTTTGGAAAATTAAGCAGTACAAAAAGATACATACAAGACAAAAGTAACCGTGGTGAGGATTTTTTTGTTTGTTTGGAATTTGTGTTGTTAGGGGGTTTGCTTATTTTGTTGGTTTTTTTTTTAAGAAACATCAGAACAGAGAGTGTGTCTAATCCATTCCAAACATCAAAGTACCTCCATCATGCACAGCTGGCAATGACAAGTCTAGAACTCTGAAAAAGGCCTATCTTCAAATAACTGAGATGTACTTTTTCATTTATATTACTCAATACCTTCAGCTGTTAAGTACAGGAGACCCAAGCTGTACACTACTTTCATGTAATTGAAGCAGTATCCCAAGTATCCTAAAAGCAATGGCAGAACTACAGCACACAGAGCTTGAAACTGGGGTTTGTGTTAGCTCTGTACTACTTTAATGTCAAAAGGTGGGTGAGTGTACAACCCACATTCAACTAATATTCCTTTAAGTTCCTTTAAGTAACTTATAAACCCATATTAAAAATATTGTAACCTATAGATTTTTTTCTTGTTAAAAAACATATGAGTACAAAAACCTCAGAGCATTACTAAAGCAAGAGCTGACAACACACTCCAGCAGCAACTGTATCTCAGCAAGTTTTCATAAATTGTTGCCTGTGTATGGGCAGTAACTCCGCCAAGAGTTCTGCAGTAAATCACCTTTCATAAGCTGAGATAAGAAGGAACCACTTATAAGAGTGAAAGCTAACCTTGTGGGTTTTGTTTTTTCATTATTTTTCTGAAAGAGCAGAGTAACCTAGCTGAAAAAAAGGGAAGAGCTCTACAACCTAAACGTGTAGTTGTCCAGAAGACTATTTTGTTCCTTCAGAGGCACTTTTGGTTCAGATATGGTGACCTGTACTTTACAGAGCACTGTCTCTGTGTAATACCTTCTCTACTGCGTTATGATGCACAGCACAATCAATGGCAAGGAAAAGTAAAAAGACATGGAATTTTGAGACATGATTGGCTCAAAAGGAAAGACTACAATGAAGCTTAAAATGCCTTTCTGTACCTCTTTAGATATGGACTTTCTGGAACAATCTCAGAGACAAGCTTCTGAGCTGCTTTATTTCAGAAGGAATCTGTTCACTGAGTAACTTCTTCATGCAGAACACAAGAGCCATGCCCAGTGGAGGGAAGGCTGCTGCTGACAGCAGCACCCTCACCAAGACTGACAGTCACTGGCTCCATTCAGCTCACTCTTACTGATTTTAGTTATCTGCCATGCAGCAATTAAGCTTTAGCAGGCATGGTGTAAAGTGCTCAGCTACAGCAACACCTCTGGCAGGGTGGATACAGCATTCATACAAAAGATGCAGGTGTAAATCTTTTAAGACAAAGAGAACTCTAAAACCCATTTCCAAGAATCAAACAAAACCTGTACACAAACAGCTGTGTACACAAAGAACACTTAGACCTAAGTTTCACCATACCAAAAATTTTTCACTCTATTTTTGCTGTACTTTTGATTAAAAAATTCTTCTTAAAAAAAGGAAGTTATTTTTTGTTTGGGTTTTTGGGTTTTTTTCCATTTTGGAAAATTAGGGGAGTTTTTACCTCTTCTGGAGGAAGGCATTGGATCTTTGGTGTTACACCATAAAATCTTCTAAGAGCTTCCTTTATAGCAGTCATCTGAAAAATTAAACAGCTTATAGAGATTAATAAGTCACAAGCACACCTTCCAACAGCTACTACACTGGTGAAGCTCTCAAAAATCTATATAAAAAGCACAACCTTAAAGAACTATAAAATTTTTGAAAGATCATTTGTCCTCCAGAAATTAGCTGACTCCTACTGAAAAAGAAGTCCATGCATATGATTTTGTTTTATAAGATTGCCTCTTACCTTGTAATATGAACTGCTCGGCTTTATCCCAGCTTTTAAGAGACAACTGAAACAAAGATAAAACATTTTTCCATGTTTCCTGTATGCAAACATGCCTTCATAATCATTAGGTAAAACAGAAATCTTAAGAAACTTTCAAGCATTACAGTAATGGGAGCAAGGGCAACTTGTCTTTCATTCTTTGTCAGCCTAGGAAAGGCCATTTTCTGAAAGGACACGTCCCATCTAATTTGGCAGTCAGGAAGAACTCTTTCCCACACCTTAATCTGAGAAACTAGGATAGTTCAGTCCTCAGACACAGCTAGGGGAAAGGGAGTTTCAGAGTGCTTTGTTCAGTGCCAGATAGGGCACGCAGTTTAATTGCTTCCTTTCTCCTGCCTTGAGCCATCCCCCTGTGCTCCTGCCACTGCAGAGGAAGACTTGTGAGGGTGTTCCAGGCACCCTCAAATACAACCACAGGATGGGCTTCCTGTAGTGGGAGACACACAGCATACTGGGAGAGGGATACAGCATGTCAATCAGGATCAATGTTACTGTCAGGGCAGACACTGTTCTAATAAATATGTTTTTGAAGAGGAAAAGTTGGTCACATGAGAGAAATGAGGTAGTGCTCAAGAACCTGCAGCCTGTGTACCTCCTCCTTTAGGCTCACTCCTGAGAGGAGTCCACATTTCCAAGCTGGCAAGACTCAGGAGCTAACATAAAATGAGTCTGTGAGTCCCAGCTTCTTCTGTAAGAAGTGGGAATGGTCAGTACCTTGCAGGATTTAATTAATAAAAGCTAATTCCCTTCCAAGGTCAGTTTTTGCACAAGGAAGATTTTATCCATCTGACTAAAGGACAAGCTGTTTTTACTTGTCATTTTACACTGCATATAAGGAGGCAAATAGAATAGATGATGTTCTGTTAATTCTTACAGAAGTCTGCATGATGTCCTCTTTTTAATAATTTGCTTTTTGGAAACAATTTTTTTAATTACTGACATTTTTTCTCATTCAAGGAGAAATTATATACTATGAGAACATTTTCAATCTTTTTACTCTTCAGTAAAGATAAAATTAATTATACTAATTCTCACAATAGATAATAAGCTTTGAGCAATTAATTTCAACATGCTTCAATCTCTATTCTTTTGCAGTGCTGCACATGCTGATACAGAGTCACATCATCGGTCACTGTGCCATCTGTAAATGTTTTAGTCACACCATCACAGCTACTTAGGCAATTGACTTAGACATCGTTAACTTTAACATTACATATGTCATGCTCAAACAATGTGTATAGAAAAATCTGCTACAGTTTTAAAAGACATCTACAAACCTGAGGTGGGAGAGATGTATTTCCTTTGTGCATATGCAAAATAAATGAGACTTTGTCTAGGAGACTGCTTGGCCAGGATACTGGCAGAGCATGAACAGAATGAGCTGGTTTGGGGTTTCTTTGGGGTTGTTTTAAGTTTTTTGGGGTTGCTTTGAGTTTTTTTAAGGTATGTTTCTTTGTAGGAAACTATTTCCTCTCTCAGATACTGTCCTCTTATGGTCAATAAATTGAAGTCAAACATCCTCTCACCCATACCAAGCACTGATCAGGAAAGGACTGTAACCTTCTGGCATTCACCTGCAGCCAGAACACATGCATACAGCACTTGGACAAGGCACAAGAGTCTCATCAAGACTTTGAATCTGGAATGCCCAGAGCTTTTGGACTGTAAGGAGAAATCAGCCCCTAGGACAAAGCAAAAGTCCCACATGGGGGTTGACAGAAAGTCCAGCATAGGACTGCCTGCAGCAACTGAAGCCTTAACCTCCTCTTTTGCTGTTGCCTCTCAGCTTTTTCTCAGGACGTCCTGCATGATTTTGCCTGCAGCTTGTCCTTTCCCCTGAGCAAAGCACTGTCTTAAAAACAAGTGCTTGGGGCTCAGCATGACTCAGAAGTTTAGGGGGGATTTGTTACTTGATTTAGAACTTTACAGGTACCATAGCTTTTGGTATCAAGATACAGCCTGTAAAGCTTCTCAAAAATTTAGTGGCTCACACGGTGTAGAACAATGCTGCTAAGGATGCTGCTGGCTTATGTGACTGAAGTGACCAGAGACTGCTTCTCAGGGTAACAACTCTTCCTCTGAACTTCAGTACTAAAAATAATTTCTGCTAATTCTCATTTCCTCTCTACCGTCAGATTTTTAGACTTTCATTTGAGGCTAGAATTGAAACTTTTAGGAACTGTTTGAAATAAAAGCCAGAGTTCATCAAGTTCATTTACGTACCCATTGAGATCAACATGCTGGTAGAGTTCTAAGGCTTTACCAAAGTACTTTTTCTGAGAATTAAGGATCTCAAGTGTGGCTGCACAAGTGCCATGTTTGTCCCACTCATGTTTCCTATAGGAGAAAAGCAAAATGCAAATTTTAGAATACATTATTTGCACATGTGCTGTACAAGCTAGTCATTGTACTTAAATCAAGTATCCAAAAGGCTACACATGTGGAGTAGAACACTGCATTCAAATTTATCACACATGTAAAAAGTAAACCCAAGCAAGATCACTCCCACCATTTCAATAACAGCAACATCTATATTTTCATTAAATAAATATGTATCATGCTCTTATGATACAATGCCCTGTCAGTGTATTTATACAAAGATGTTTGGAGGTCAGAATGTAAAGTATTTGCCTAGAAAATTACTATCCCTAAGCTTTTTATAAGTTTTAGTGGAACCTTTTGTGTTGAACAGACTTTGAAAGCACTAAATTTTTTTCTGAACTCAAAGGATTAAGCCTTATTTTGGGTGAAACAGTATAATTGCACAAGCTGCTAAGATTTTAGGATTGGTTTTTATTCTGGCCTGTGGCAGAATTTTCACAGGCCTTCTCTCAAGTCTTGCTTCTAGTCCACTATCCATTTTCCTAAGGGTAAGGAATAGAGAGCAAAAGAAATTCTTGCAGTGTACACCACACAAACTCAAACAGGACAAAAACTGGGAAAAAGACAAAAATCAATCAATTATCAATTTATCAATTCTAAAGTCCATTGGAAGATTAAGCAGTATAGTCTTTAGCGACACTGCCTGTCTTTTTTTAAAATTCTTTTCAAATTTTCATGATCTACTTGTACTATTGGGTATCAGTTCAGTAGATATACAGAAAGATTATCTAATCACAAACTTCTGCCCTCACCACAGCATCCTGTGACCTTATGATGCCTTAAGTACATCATCAAAAAGAGAGAAGAAGGACAACTAGTACTCACTTGAAAGCCTACCTTGGAGTTGTCTGTTCATATTGAAAACTTCAGATTTTTCTTAAAGAATTAAAACACCTTAAATTCTGTTTGGATCTAGAGAAATAGTGCACTACTTCTCAACAGATAATTAATAAAGCAACTGTGGTGTCAGGAGATTTGAAGCAGGGGAAAAGATGCTTTACTGTAAGATTTTCACTGTATCTTCCCAAATTTAGCCTTGTAGAGAGTTCTCATCTGTAACATTCAACACAACTGCATGTCAAATGAATTGTTTATTGTCTGGAAGAGACCAGTTTCCATGGGCAGATTTCTCCACAAGGGATTTTAAATTACTAATGGGAAAAGACACCACAGTTTTAAAGTAAACAGAAGCTCTTTTAGGGGTAACCTTAGCAAGAGATATAGTTAGGCTAGATCAGAAGCAGATAATAGTCAGATCCAAAGAGCTACTGAAACAGCAGCAAGCTGGAGGCAAGGCTTTGCATGTAGGACAACAATTTTAATTCAGAGAATGTATACATGCATCTGTGTAAAACCAATGGTGAAGTGCTTGTCTTTTGAAGAATTTCAGTAGTACTTGTATTCAAGTGTCCTCCTCTTTCTAAAAAGAAGGTAGAAATAGAAATGCCAAAGATCTGCTGGCATTAAGAAGCTGATTACTGCTCCCATGGAGTGGTTTGGTGCAGTCTGCACTGACAGTACCTGTGCACCATCATCTGCAGCAAGCCAAGAATGCACCAGGCCCAAGTGTTTTAATCAGTCCTGTGAGCTTCCAGAATGGACAGAGACTTTAGTCTCCACAAAATATTTACCCAGACTTTAAGATGACACTCTTCACAGTGTTACTTTATTTTGCAGCACAGCCACACCAAAGAACAAAAGAAAAGATAGTAAAAACAGCTGCCAGTGCTTGTGAAGCTTCTGCACCTCTTGCACCCACAAGCTTGGTGGTAGGACAGAACTGCTGTCAGTAACTTCACTGAAAAGAGAAGTGGCTGCCATGACACAGTGCATTCTATTTTTCTATTTCCTCTTCTATGAGGAAACCCAAAAGGAAAGCTCACTCAAGACCAGTAACACAGTGAAACTAGCTAGGGAAAAAGATCTGGAAGCTGCTCTTGCAGCTAGCTGTGACACCCCAGGACAGCTACTGCTACTCAGATTTAATGTGTCAACAACAGGTGTTTGTCCTCCCTGGGGACAAAGGGAGGAAACATTCTCTCACCAAGTTTCATTTCTCTAAAACTTCTGCTATAGCTCTCTCTTCAACAGCTGTATTTTACAAGAGAACAGATCTATACTGTAAATGAGACTGGCAAGACACACTGCTTCAGTGGCCTCCTGGACACTTCTTCTCCTGCACAACATCTCACCTAAAGAGCTACTCAGATGGATTTTTATAAAATAATATCCAAAATACTTTTTAGGGCTTTTTAATACTCACCAGAACTGTGTGCGATTCAGAGATGAATGAAGCACATCAGGCCAGTAGTGTCTCATGTCTGACATAAGATCCTAAAAACACCACAATTAATAAATGCACCTACAGCCCTGAAAAAATATTTATTATACAATCTACATATATTGATACATTTTTTACAACTGAAGCCTCATCTTTCAATGTCCATGACTGAAACATATAGTTGAAGAAAAATAAAAGGTCTTTTTCCTCCATATTCTGAAAATGCTGTTGTTGGAATTAACAGGTACACCTACCTAAATATCTGAACATACTAATACCGACACTGCCTAAAATTAAGACTTTCCTTCAACTGCCCCTGCACAAGTTTTTCAATCATGCAGTGGTTTCACATTTGTTGGCTCAAGTCTTTTATCCCTGTTTATAACACATAAATTAATTTTGTTGAATTAAATACATCACAGTTCTTTTAAGTAGAAAAAGAACAAAAAAAGACTAATGGCCTAGGAGAAAACACACAGGAAACAGTATTCTGAACTCATAATTTCTTTGTTCTGATTTTGCAGTAGAAAATGCGAAGAGAGCACCAAGTGACTGAGTCTTTTTCTTTTTGCCACTGCAGATCCATCACCAACGTAGTGCTGGACCTTTAGATTTAGTAAGGAGGATGTGGCTGAATGAGCCAAACTCATGTTCACATTTCAGTTCATGGCATGTTCACAAAATCAAGTAGGTGCAGCTGCTAATGATCACAAGGATGGCAACTTCAAACAGTGCCGGAAGCACTCAAAGAATTTCTAGAGTCCTTAAAAAAACATACCTCTAAGTAAACATTGAGTGATATTATAAACTGCATATTTTGCATATAGGATGTGCAAAAGTAATTGCACTTAGCTCCGCCTGATATGTCTGTTTTTGTTTTAAATACCTTGATCTCGGTGACATTGAAATGCCATGTCCTATTACAGTCTTCAGCTCTGTCAGGCCTAGGGAAGCAAAATAAAATTGAAAAAAAGATGTCTCCTAACTCACTACCGGGAACTAACATATCACTGGCCTGAATTTTAAATATGCATGATTATAGCTGGAGATTTTACTTAAAAATGCAAGTAAACCATCAGAACCTACAGTGCTTTAGAAGTAAAACCTTCAAGACATTGATTATGGCCAAAAGATTTCTCATGAAGATTCAAAAAGATGGCCAAAAGATTTTGTCATGATTCCTTTGTTTAGCCCTTTGGTCCCTTTCATTCTTTGTAAAAGTCATTTGGGTGTGCCAATGACTTGGGAGGGTCTTGCACATGATGTCACTGGTGTCACTAATGGCAGTGACATCCTAAATTGCTGCCCCATCTGATGTTTCTGCAATTATCACCAAGACACTCTCAGAGAATCAATACATAATGCTGCTCACTTTTTCAGGAGGCATGGCTTGAACTCCTGTACTGATTTTAACCTGTATTTGTCCAGAAAAGTTTTGAATTGCTGCCACCGGCATCAATTCCAGTGAGTTGATTCCTTTGAAGCAAATTAGTTTTTCCTATATTTTTGCAATATTTGTCTGAAGATAAGATACTCAAAGCCACAAGCAGTCATGAGATATTAACAAATTCTTTTTACTCAGAAAGACAAAAAAAGGAAGGGAAACAATAGTTCCCTTTGTGCTTGAGATGATTTCTGATCTTATGAAGAGATGTATAAATAAAATTTGTATGAGGCCAGAGAATTTCAATGAGTCATGAGATACAGAACTGTATTTCAGTTTTATGTCAAACCATAGGGTTTTAATTTTGTTTCAAGGAATCATAACAACAGACAGATTAAGATCTCAAAAAAATCCAAAAAAAATCAACAAAAAAACCCACAAAAAAACCCAACAGAACAAACAAAAAAACACCCCAAAGAAACAAACTCCCACCCAATAAAACCAAATCACTAAACATCCTGGTTTAGTTTAAAAATTGATTTTTCCTTTCCAGGCTGAAATAAAAACACTCTGTGATCATACCACAATCCATGGATTGTCCAGTACTTTGGCGGGTCATGACAATCATTAGCATTCATCTGTAGGGAACAAAACCACAGAATATTTGCTGCATGTATCCAGAAGTAAAGGTTTAAAGGCAAAATTAATTCAGTGATGGCCCAAAGTTCTACTGTGACATGCTAACTTGCCAAATCAGGAACGGGTGAACTCCAGTTACTTGAAGCTGTCATGGATTATACCACTTAGGGACCCACTGGCATTAAAATTTTGAAGCAGATCAGTGAAATATGAACAGAGTATAAAGAGAAGATAAAAGGACATGTTCTGATGTAACAGGAAGTAGCCTGATCCACACAAACAGAGCTTTATCAGCACTTATAATATTCCAGGTGGCAGCTCTCTGTAATTTTCTCATTACCACATCTTTTCAAGGAGTGCACAGCCATTAAAATAAAAACATGCAAAATAAACTATAATACTGGACAAGCACAAAACCTTCTTTAAGCATTCAGGACTTGTTTTTTTACACTGTATTAAAAGTGAAAAATACAAAGAAGAGATTAAATATATTGCTTATTCCAAGTAAAATGGACTTATGCCCGTAAGGATTTTGACTTGAGGGACAAGGGAATGGAGAGAAAAAGAAAGACTAAACACCTTCCTACAAAAACAGAAAAATAGAGCCTCCAATAAAAACTGTTGATAATACAGGAGAAATAGCCTACACTTTAATTACTGCTTAGAGCAGACACATCCCTGAAAAAAACAAATTAAAAAAATCCATGTCACACATCATGGAATACCATTACTGTATTTTTCCTGATTATTCTTCTTAGCAATTAAAGCTCTTTCAAATAAACACTTTTTGCCACTAACTAACAACCTCCCCAGACGTTCCTTTCCCATAATAATAGCTTTCCTTTTTGGCTCTGCATTCTGTCTTAATTATGCCACAATGTCTTTTATGTGATGCCAGAGCAAGAGCAGAGTGTAGAGAAGAGCAGACACAAGCCTGTAATCTCACTAATTGCCTTCCACATGCCACAGGCCAGTGGCAGCAAACCTGCAAGCTCTGCGAGACTTTCTTGTCCTTTGTCCATTTCCTTCCTCTCCTCTTTTGCCACCAACAATACAAGCAATTACACCCAGAAACAGCTTTTTTCCCTGAAAGGAGTATTTTGAACAAACACACACTGCAAATGTCTAAATAATATTGTTCCTGTCATGACACAAGCTCTGTGGAACTGGAGGGGATTGGCTATCTAGCCCAAAGTACAGCAAATTAATGGTCAACAGCTTGCTCAACTGAGGTGGGAACAGAAACAGTGTAATTGTGCTCCTTATTCAATATTTAACTGTAGGTCTCAGACGTACTAATGGAACACCCAGAGCATTTTAGATCTGAAACCATGGCACTAACCTTCCTAGCAGTTTCTTCTACCTGTTTCATCAGATTCTTGGTGTTACCCTGTGTGGTGGCAGAACTGCAAGGTCAATGCAACCTACAACACATTAACTCACACTCTGCATGCTTTGGCCAGCTTCATTCAATCTCCTTTTTCATTCTTGCCTTAGTTTCTTTACAATGCTCATTTTAAAGCAGTATCATAAAAAATGTAAATGTTGGTCTGCAAAGCTGGGTACCCCTGTTTGCTTGGGCAAAACCACTTCTTGTCAGCCTTCCTGTTCACAGACTGATTGCTGGAGGATTAATTCAACCTCAGGCAACCACAGACTTGAAACAGAGGTACAAACATTTATTTGCAAGCCTTATATACCTAGATAAATTTGAAAAAGAATCACTATTTTCTCCTGTTTTAAAGCAATCTGATAATCAAACCAATCCAAAGGAATCATACACTGTAAAACTGAGCAAGGTGCTGGTAAGGCTGTAGAGCACCCATCATGCTAGGAGGGAACGCTACAGCAGAGGGATTAGCCTATTTGTAACAGCAAGTCATTGCACAAACAGCATGTTCCAGAAGTATGGAAGCTTTTTATCACCTCTGAAATGCCAAAAAGTGAAATACCATCAATGTGTCACAGAAGTGTTACCTGTTGAGCTGCCCAAATTACAAATCCCTTGGTACAGCAGCAGGTAAATGTAAGCGTTGTGCTACTGGATCACACAAGATACACCAAATTGAAATGAAAAATCGGCTTCTGGGAAGTGAAATATTTCATCCTGTTCTCCTTTCCAACTACCTTGCTTAAGTAGGCCATCTCTTTAATTAAGATAAATTATAAGTTACTTGGTAATGAAACATGGCAACTGCTAAGAAAAATTCTTGCTTTTCAAACTGTGGAGAGAATTCACCTCTTCAACTTCTCCTCATGCAGTGTGCATTTACTCCCCTTCCTCCTTCTCCCCACACCCTGGGGTAAAACAAATTAATAAATGAACCAAATTTATAGGGTTGCTGAAAAAAATTGGGTGGCAACTAATACAAATTTTCTACTTATTGAACACCTCTCTCAGGAGCTGTTAGGCTAAAACCTTTCATATAAAGATCCACAAAACCACCTAAACCAAACCTTATTCTCAGAAAACTTGTAGAAATTGTAGACACAGATTAAGAGTTATCTTATGAATTACATGGACATTGGGAAAAGCATTTCTTTTGTTCCAGAACAGTGTATGGCAAGAGCTGAAATGACTTTGACACACCTGGCTTAAAATGCAAAGAAATATATCTAAGGAAGTTTTTGATCTCATGCTAGATCACAATAGTGTATTGCCCTCACTTTAGTCACTTTAATTCTTTTTCTATTACGTGACTACTACTATTTTTACCAAAAAAAAGAAGGAAAAACAGCGTTTCTATTCTTCATTTAAGCCTCTGCTATAAAATTATTGTCAAAGCCTGAACGTAAGAAAATTTTTTATCTCATATGAAAAAATATTTTTTTTAAAAAAACAAATCATCTGTTGCTTAACCCAACATTCAAACTTGAATTCAGACTGTTCTGTTCATTACTCTATTCTACTGTCCTTTTTTTGACTCTTTCCTTCCTCAGAATATATGTGCAATAAAAGGCAGATGACAGCGGGTACCCTTTCTTTATTGTCCTTCCCATTCCTAACAGAGAAGGAACTAAATAACTTACAAACTTGCACTGGATCTTCCACATTTCACACATACAAACACAAAACCAACCACACAGAAAATTTTACCTTTTTGCAATCTCTAGGATGCAAAAGCTGAGATGATAGTTCTCTTTTTAAGTTCTGCAATAAAAGCTATTTCACAACTCCATAAAAGGGGAGTTGGAAAGTTCCTTTTCTTGGCCTTAAGCTGCTCTTAAGTCACTGATTTGTTACTGAAAAGTGTGGTGTGAATTAGCCCACAGGCACAATTTTTTAAGGGAACATGAAATTCACAGTCACTTGAGGTCTGTGAATTTAGCTTAGGTATCTTTGCATAAGACGCAGTCAACTTAGGTCAATTATATGGTACTGGAATTTCTAATCACGTTACAAGGAAGAAAATCTCTCTTCCTCCTTCACCCTTTTCACTGTTGTACTCAGTAATTAGGTCCTGCGATTATCTCTACTTCTATGATACCACTGTATTTTAATGGGTTAGTTTGAAAGGTATGACTACAAAACACTTAATTGTGCTGATCACACTCAGTATTAAAAGGCACCAGCTGAATACTTACTTTCTAAAGCCCAGGAAGAGCTGGGAGAGACGTATTCTCAAATTTCTGGCATGCTGATCTGTGCCCTCTAAAGTTTAAAGAAGGCCTTTCAGGCCTTCAAAAGCCTAAAAAAATTTTCAAGTACAGATTTGCAAAATAGGTAGGAGTTAAGATGCAGCTCATCCACACATCTCAAGAACACGCTATGTATGAAAGAGTCTATTATCAGATTCCTTTAGATAGGAGGCACAAACTAAGAAGTACTTTCAGAAAAAAAGCATCTCACAGCTTTTTGTCATAATTGATATAATGACTTTTGCTGTTTCTTTTACAGCTTTTTCCTTCCAATATCATGTCAACAATTTTAAACTGAATAATAACATTAAAAACATTTACACACTGAAAAACACCAGTTATATATAAATACACCAAACATACAGAAGAATCTACCTACTTAAACACACTTAAACTAATTCCTGAATTTAGAAACTACTCTTATCTAAAACAAGAAAGATGTTTTAGGAGTACAGTTGAGATCTTGTTCCACCATGGCACAATGATGGGAAACTACAAAAAAAAGTCACTTAATATGATTTTAATACCCCTTTTTCTGTACTTCATTGAATGCTTCTGTCCACCTCTTACTACAGAATATCACAAGAAATTAACAATGTGCAAGAATGCTTACATTTTCTGATGTTCAATACCTTCAATTATTCACTACAACTTCATTAGAAGGTTATGTAAACTATCTGTCAGTTTATAAATTGCACTACCCTGGAATTCAGAGGAGTAACCACCATAAATACAAAGTGGAAAAACTGGTTGCTAAGGGGTTTGTTTTATTAATTTTGGGTTGTTTCATTTTTTATTTTTTTTTCCAATTGTTCTCATCTCAGTCATGAAAGCAAGGGTTTGCACTGCTACTGACTCTGAATACTGACTCGTGCTAGGCACTACAAACTCTTCAACACCAACATCTCTGCTTCAAGTCATTAACAGTGATGTTTAATCAACAGAAAATCAGACATATTGCATCAAATCTTTCCTTATTTCTGCCCAAAAACAGGCAAACAAAGAACAGAACAGTGATTTTGGTCTTTGGTCTCAGTTAGTCACACACATCTGACTTTTGTTATTGATATAGTCCTCCACTTTTAAGTAAAGTACATCTACTTTTCCTCAGATATTTAGGCAGCACATGACTTTTGTTGCTACTGCTTTTCTATCTATTTCCAGAAACAGGAATAAGAAATAAAAAAGTACCTAAACACAAAAAATAAGATTCTAATGTTGTAAAAAAATCCTAAGAAATCTTTCTCATGGCAGAGACATTTGGCTGAACCTGAAGCTACTTTATTATCCACAAGGTTTTTCTACCTTGTGTGTGTCAATAAATCTGATCATATTTTTAACTTAACTGTATGGGAAGAGACCTTTGAGTACTTCCAGTATAGGAAAAGTGTTCTACTTATCAGATGGTAGTAGATATTTAATAGCAATAGTACCCCTCTTAGCTGTGCTTTGACAGATGTTATGTTGAAAGGTTGGGTTTGTTTTGGGTTCATACCCCTCCAACACAGCAAAAAATGCAGAAATACTCAGAGACACCTGCCACAACACCTTTATAGCTCTCTTGCCTGACTGAATCACTATTTGATGAAATCACAGAAATACTGGAGCAAACATTACAAAGCTAAAAAACTTATTGTGCAGCAGTTAGTTCAAATACTGATCTGTCATCAGTCAAACAAGGAAGGCAAGTCTTCCTACAGAGTCTGATGAAAGTCTAGGATTAAGTTTATAACTAATAAGATGTCACAAATTCTGTAACAAGCTTACTGTACAGTACACTCTACACTGATGACTCTATCTGTAACACACCACAGTCTTTCCTGCTGCTCTGCATTGCAGGGGAAGTAGCAAAACTTCCATCAGGATCAGGAAAAGCCATATAAAGGCATAACCAAGATTAAATATTTAATGGGTTTTATTCAATCTGTTTTCACACATTTATTATCCAATGCTACCTTTTTTAGGATAAAAGAGAAACACAAAAATCTTACCTTACATACAGTCACTGGCCAATGATGAGCAAAATACAGCTTTTTCCAGGGATGAAAGTGGACGCCACTGGAGAGAGACAGACAAATTTATTTTCTTCAAGCATTTTAAAAAGAGGAACACCTTCAGGCACACACTCCAAACTAACAAGTAGGAAAGAATCAACATATTAGGAAACCTGCTAATATCTTGATTGTTAAACAAATTCTCCTTTTGGCAACCTGCTAATATGTTGATTGTTAAACAAATTCTCCTTTTGGCACCCTCTCCATATGCTTTCCATTTCTTAAGTATGGAAAAAACACATTGCTCTGTTTTTTATTTACAGAGTATTTATTGGCATGCTTTTAAATTTTTTTTTTTTTAAATAGGTGTCTTTATTTAATATGTTAAGAATGTTCTAATTCTTCTTGATAGGCACATTATCTGAGAAAAAAAAAAGCATACAACCTTCTTGGAACTGTAACTACTCTTCTAAAAAGAAAGACTACAATCATTCACCAACTATGTAGTTTACACTGCAGGACATGCAACTGGATCTTGCAAGTTTCCCCAAACTTTTTAATTAAAAAAAAAAAAAAATTCAGAATAAAAAGTAGAGTACAAATTACAAATCTCAAAAATTCTGACTTTCTAAGTTTATAGGCATTTAATTCAAACAGTACATTTTTAAATGCTCATTAAAAATGAAGTAGCTTTTAAACATTTAAAAAGTGATCAAACTATAACAAAGTCTTAAGGTTACCTATGGAAGAATTTAAGAGGTATTCCATATTTTACAAGAACATGCCTGTTTCTAAGCCTCTAAGAATAAGAGATGTATAATTCACAGACCAACCAGTACTATCTTACTCACATGCAGAGGGAAAAAAAAAACCTCAAAAATTTGTTCAACAAGTGTTGGAAGCCTGGGTCACATCATTTTTATAGAGGCCTTTTCCAACAGTTTGGAGCATACCTACTCAGGTTAAAGTAGAAGTAAATTAAAAAGCTGTTGCATCAGACACTACTGCATATATATTTAGATATTAAGCAACCAAAGTAATTAAATAGTACAGCAAATGGGAAAAATAAGTAGAATTGTAAATTATTTAAACTGACAACATTACCTGCAGAACTGTCAAAATAAATTGTGATTCTCTGGAAGCTAATAGCCACTTGTCAGTCATTAGTTCTTTCTAGAGGACATATTACCAAAAGAAAAAGGGAGGAAAAAAAGGAATAAAAGACAAAGCTAATTCTTCTCAACCTCAAGACAGCCTAGGGATGCTTCTGTGTTATCTCACACATCAGTTATTTCCTCTAGGTTTTCTAGTTTGCAATGGCTGCATTTTCTCTTAAGCATTTAGATGTATTCATGGTTTTCTATGTAATTTAGGAGAATAGCTCTGGACCTGACCAGGCATAGCCACAATAAAAACTATAAACACTTTTATAGGGGTCTTTACTGTTGCTGTGGAAATCTGAATAGAGGAATTACCCTATATTACAGAGCAGTTAATTTCCTTGGTTTTAAAAAGTCCTTGCTTAGAAATTATCTTTCTTTAGAGTTTCCATTAAATCTTTCATCTATATTTGAAATAGCAGCTAAACTTCTGCAATGTCAGTCATGCCAAATAGAGTTCTCCTAGAACACACTTTTTGGCTAAGGATAGGTCAGAAAACTGTACTTATCACACAGAGTGAGTTAAGCTCAGAACTGGAATCCAAGGAAAACCATTTTCAATACCTATGCAACTTCAGAGATACCGCCCCTTCTCTGGACCTGAGTTATCCTGCTCTGTGCAGCTCAGGAATGTGCCTCTAGAGCTGACTCTTTGCCAAGACAGCCAAGTGTCATGGGGTGGCTTTACCTTTAAGGTGGTTTTGGAAGCTAAGGAAGTTGAAAGTGCTGGTGGCTGATGGGAGTCTTTCCTCCTGACCAATTATCAGTCATTTCTAAGAATTGACAGCAGTTTTGACCATTAAAAAGTGGAGTCAACTTGTGAACACCCCCTTAAGATGTACAGTCAAAGCTCTCTTGTCCTCTTTGGTTTCCGGCTTCTGAGAAGGTAACAGGGCTCTGTCTTGGCCTCCTCCCCCCCTTCCAGGACGGACAAGGCTGCAGAAGACGAAGAGGGGTGAAGGAGGAAAGGAAACAGAGCCGGCCAGCTTAGCTTAGTTTGTAGTTTCTGCTGCTGGACTGAAACCTGACATCATGAACTCTTGCAGCTTTTCTAAAGCTTTAATTCTTTTACTACCTGGATAAAACGTACAGATTACTCCTTTTTTCCCAGAGAGACAGAGAAAGAAAGAGACAATCAGCATAAAGAAGACATCATAAAGCCACCAAAAACAGTGAGAAAAGAGTTAAGTTTTAGATGGGGAAGAGAAAATAAGGAGATGCTTTTTAAGCTGAAATATCTTTCTGTTAAAGCTATGGAGATGGACAATAATAGTTGGAAAAGACTCCTTTAATTCATGACAGAGTGTATTGGGAGGAATGGAGTGTTCAAAGTGTAGATTTTGAGCAAAAGAGAGAGTAATTGCGATACAGTGAAGTGCTGGAACAGAGTGAAGCAAAGATTTGAAGCCTTGAGGGCAATGAGAAAACTGTTTCCAGAGAAGCTCACAGAGACAGACGAAGAGGACTTTTGGCTTTGAATAACTCATCCTTAAAATGACATCCCTAGACTCGTGGCCCATACACACCTCAGAGTGATGTGAAATGGGAGGAGTGAGCTCTGATGACAGGATTTCTGGGCAGCTGGCATCAGGGAAATAGAAAACTATAACAGAAATAGTTTTCTTGTGAGAAACTACATAGATTAACAGAAAGAGACTTCTGTTTCTCTACAAAGACTGATAAAAAGACTGCAGCAGAAATTGAGACTGTTTTAACCACCAAAGTTCTAAAGTTTTTTTGTCTCTATGTTGTCACGTGTACAAAGGAATGGTCAGGTAGTGGGGGATAAAAGAGTATTCTGGAAGTTTATTCTGGTGTTTTTATTCTTGTAGTTTTGTTAATAAACTTTCTTTATTCCTTTTAAGTTTTAAGCCTGTTTTGCTCTTGTTCTAATCCATATCTCACAGCAAGAAATAAGTAATTTTTTTAGTTACTGCTTTAAAACCACGACACCAAGGCAGAGCCTAAATCCTGGGGATTGAAGAAACATCAGCACAGGGTCTAAGCTACCCACCAGCTGCAATGTAAACATTGAAAGAAGTTCAGCAGTGAACTGAGCACTCCTAACCATTCTCTTGCCAAAGCACTGAAAGGAAGCAGTAAAGTTTATTTCCTCATATAATGCAAGAGGAATTTCATCTTTGACCACAGAAGGGTGTGATTTGGAGAGTGGTTTCTTCCATGGCCCATTGGTACTGAAGCTCAGATTTTGCCAAGGTGCAACAACCACCAAAAGGTGGTGAAGAAATCTGATACAGCATCAGTTGTCATATGAAAAAGAATTTTATATTGTCAGAACTGAGAAAATAGCAAGGAAGAAGAAAAGATAAATAAAAAAGTAAATAATGCAACCATTAGTGCAGCTCATGCCACAGGGATGACTCCAGATTTTTTGCTATAAGTTTCAAACTAATTTTCAGATTTTGTCATTGCTATATCACAACTCTAAATGATTAATCTACAGCAAAATTAGAAAAGATTTAAGTGTAACAAACTGAATTTAAGTTTCCTCTCTTTCTTCATGCTGACACATGTAAAGGTTTCCTCAGGCATGATCCTTGCTCCTGTAGTTAATGTAGATGCCTTATTATAAATCACCTAAGGGAAGAATAACACATCAAAAATCGTACATAATAACAAATTTACATTAGAAGTTAAACCATTCTGATCTGCAGTTACGAATGGGTTGTCAGATGTTTCATTTTAAAGCACATCTTACCTTTGAGTAAGTGCATCTGAAGTACACCAACAACATAGTGCCATGGAAAACCAAACCAGAATCCAATAGTGCAGCTCTGCAGGTTTCATTTTGTTATCCAAATAGCTGTAAAAAGGTGTTGAAAGAAGAAATCTGTTACCTATCCAACACACTTAAAGTTAAAATGAAAAAAACCCCACTACTATGTCAGAAATAACAGCTAATGGTAACTCTAGATTAGTTTTACAACCATGGGTAAAATGAGGATCTCTTTCAGGGCTGTGCCTAATTCCCCAGCTTGCATGGTAATTTTCATAGACTAATGCCATCAAGGATGAGAACACCATTTCCTATTTTTTCTTTACTTGTACATGGTTGCAACAGAGCCACCTTCCAATTAACAGAAATCCATAAATCTTCTATCCAACTATATTTTATGTAATTGAAGACTCTACTTGTAGTCAGCTCAAATGCAAAAGGGATTCATTAAAGAAACTTTGAACTTAATATTAAATATTCATGTTGGATTGGCCAAGGCTGATATTAGAAACTCACAGGAAGCCAAATATGATGTCCAAAGATGAAATTCTGTCTAAACGCCAGTTGACTACTAAACTAATACTTTAAAAAAATGCTGCTAAAACCACATGAGTTTCTGTTCCTGTGATAAACCTGAGATAGCCTCTATGAAATCACACACAATTTGCCTAATACTTCATGGACCTTAAAAGTCAGGGGATAAAATAAATCAACCTTCTCAAACAGGACTTTCACTTGGCACAGGTCAAAAATCTCAACTATCTCCCCAATCTACCAGCCATTTCACAGCATTTCAAATGCTACCTTCTAGAAAGGGATGTACATGAACATATTTACATTCAAGTTATTAAAGCCTCACCAAACCTACTTCCCAACTTTCTCAAAATGACAACCCAACACCACAAGACACTGCATGTAACCTAGGTAACCTTTCTAAGATCGCTCACTATACAAGTCGTATTCTTTTATTCTGTGAAGGTTTTTCATAATTCATCCTTACAACAGTCAAGTAAAGCCTGTTTTGACACCACTGAAGACTGATTCAGCCATTACACTGAGAAAACTCAGTGTAATTCATATTCACAGCTCATTACAAAGAAGAACCCATTTTCCCACAGTTGTTACATGGCTCTGGACCCCGCAGTTCTGCAAACGCTGTGCCAGAGCTGAAGTACAATTTGGGGAGCCTCCCTGCTTGCAAAATGTGTGGGGATTTCCAAACTTTGGAGGGGCTTAGGCAACAACAGTAACCAGCTAAATTTATCATAAGGTCTTGCTAAATTGTGAGGAAGCTAACACTTCTAAGACATTCTTCTATTTCAAACATTAATGCCTCTCTAATTTGTAACACACACATTATCAAGGTACGTGGCCTAACAGAAGATATAAAAAGATAAATATTAGTTGCCAACTGTTGATTACCTGATCTAGTTTCTTAAAAAAACATCAGAAGGAATTTCACTCACCAGGTAAAAGAAGAAAAAAATAGTAATTTTAAAAAATCATTTGGAGAGTGCTACTTGTATAAAAAGCAAACAATAATGTAGAACTGTAGAACTAAAACTAATGTAGGATCTTTAGCAAAAGCTAGCTAAAGCAAGACATATGTGCTGTATTAAAGAAATTTATATAGTAATACAGAGTATTAAGAGTCACAAATAAGTAATGAGCTACTGGATAGCCAATTTCCCCAAGAGCTCTGCACCTTAAGTGATCTCTAGTCTCATCATTTGAACAACAGGAATTAGTGATGTGAGATTCTGCCTTACAGACTTGCTTAATGACTTCATCTTCTTTTCAGCTGAAAACCAACCAAGCAAGACAACTTTTCTGCATGAAAACCTATCTACCCAAGATAAAACACTGAGAGATGTAAGGAGTGTAAGATTCATGGAAAATTCTGCCCTACCTATAAAAAGCAGGAAGTACTATTTAAAACATAGTAACATCACACCTCACCAAAGAAAAGCTTCATTTTACAAAGGTGTGGAAGAAACACCTTAAAGAAGTCGATTATGAAAGGAAAATAACTCAGCAAGCATTATAGAATTTCTTTTGATGTAAGCTGGTAGGCAGAAAGAAGATTTTTTTTTTCCAGTGACTAAGTTGAAAAAAAAAGCATAAAAGCAATTATCTCCTTTCTCACTGGACTCTTATCTTTGATCAAGTAATGACCAGGGACAGAGAGGGCTTCAAAAAATGCTGCTATCAGAGCAGCAGAAGGTGCTGATTTATTCTACATCTTGTTCTGAACCCTGGAACAAGAACATAAGGCAACAAAGACAGTGAGCAGGTTTGAAAGCCCTCAATCTGTAACTTTCACTTTTTCCCACTGACAAACAAAAAATAAACTCTAAGGATTTAGCTCAGAAGACAACCTTGCAGCTACCACACCACTATCATGACAGACTGAGTGATTTATCAAGCTGACCTTTTATTTGTCTGTGACATTGATGGTGGTGGGTGAAAAGTGCATCAATCTCACCTTAAAGGAACCTTTGATGCACATTTGAGGAAATACATGCATCCAAATGAAAACGGTATTAACAACTAAGATGTATAAAGCACATCAATTTTTAATAACAATTGCTTCTGCTTACTAAAAATTACACTAGATTACTAATTTCACAAATACAAGAAAGAACAGATTTAGTAAATATTACAGCAACTCTTCTCTAATAAGAAACAAGGATTTCCCTCTATGAAAGCTAGTTACAAAAAAAAAAAAGTCATGATGTTCCAAAAGATTTCATAACAGAAAACTTAAGACTTCAAAATAATGAAACCTGCACACATACATAAAATTATTACTTGAAACTAGGCTATCCACTCATTTTCATTATGGATAAAATTTCAAAGGGCATAAACAGCTTTGGAATGACTCTTGGTTTATTATATATAGAAAAGGAATGTTAAACACGTGTGTGTTTTTGTGTGTGTGTGTGTGTGTGTGTGTGTGTGTGTGTGTTAGTAATCTGGTCAGGGCAAGGTCACTTTCAGTTATGTTAGCATTGTTCCATGCTGCTTTCAAAATTATCTGCCCAGGCTTATCAAAGACTAGGGATAGCTTGTAATAAACCTGTAATAAATGAGGAAGAGAAAATCTTCTCTTAATACATTCATTATAGTTTGAATTCTAATATACCATCTGGAAGGGACTGCTGATGTAGCACATGCTTCTTTTGGACACTAGCAGTTAGTCACCTCTTACTTTACTCCCTTATTTTCTTTTTGTTTTGCTTTTAACAATTAGCTTGACTAGCAAACCCCTCATTAATATAAAATTTCCTGTTCTACACTTTAGTTCAGCATGTAAAATCAGAAGAGAAGATGCTGCAGAACAGCACTCAAGGATCAGCAAGAGATACCCATGGTTATGACATAGCATGCACGCAGCTAAATGTTTGCAACAGTGTCCAAAGATAAGATTTAGGACAGTTAGCCTGGCATCTAAAGCAGAAAAATAAACACCCAAGGCTTTGGTAGCATCCCAAACAAGTCAGCATGCACTGTAGGCTGTCACAACGAGTTAGACAAGCCAAGTCACAACACTATGCCAGAAGCATTAATTTAATTTATGACAACGCTCTTAGATCCGGCAGCTTTTACCTCCACTGTCCATTCCCAGCTAGCCATGCATGCCGAGCCCGAGTGCTGGCCCGAGTAACCGCAAAAAGCTCTCTGAAGCCTTTTCAGAGGCACTACTCACCCCCGCCGCCACGGCAGGATTTCAGCAGCACCCCTCTCTCCGCCGAGGCTGAGCGGTGCCGGGGTGAGCCCGGCGGGAGCAGGGGCTGCGCTCAGCCCCGCCGGCTCCCTGGGAAGCGCCGAGCACGGCGGCAGCTCGCTCTCCTCGCACGGCAACCAACACACGGCTCTGCTCTAGCACGGACGGAACTCCGGCAGCAGAAAGCCTTTTCTCCAGATAAACAATCATTACAGAGGCGTTTGCACAAACTAGAGAACGCAATTCACCCAAGCATCCGGAAGCGGGAGGCCTCCAGGCGACAGCAGGATGCCAAAGCTGATGTAAAGTGTAAAAAAACCCGAAAAACTATTAAGAGTGTTTCCGCCTCTGGGAAACGCTGCCATTTACTCGGCTGTCTTTCGATTTGCTACGTATGGAATTTAAAGCGTAAGAAGGGAAAGCTAACACAGAGTCCGTCCCAGGCCTGCAAGTCCCACCTTTGCAGTTCTCGCAGCTGAGGATCTCTGGCACAGAGCCACTCTCCCAGGCAGAAAAGCCTACTCAGAAACATCTCGGGCGGGCCGGACCGCACCGCAGCTCCCTCCCACCCAGCTGCCACCGCGGGAGCGCAGCCCCGGGGCGGACAGGGGTCGGGAAGAGAGAGCCGAGGGAGGCCGGAGCAGGGACACTCTCAAATCCGACCTCCGCGGCCTCGGGTTCAGACCTCACCACACCTCGGCAAGCTGCGCGCACCCCCCGGCCCGCGTTACCTTCCGCCCGCCGCCCCGGCGCTGCCCGCAGGAGCTGCCCCGTGCCCGCCCCGCTCCCGGGCCCCAGCGCGGCCCCGCCTCGGAGGGCGGGCGGCCGGGCCGGCACCGCCGCTCACCACGGGGGCTGTCGGAGGCCTGTCCGGCCACTGCCGGCTGCTGGGGACGCGCAGACCCCGCGGGCTGCGGCCCCGCTGCCTCCCTGGAGCATCCCTGGAGCATCCCTGAGGCATCCCTGGAGTATCCCCGCGGCCAGCCGGGCACCGCGGGAGCAGGCCCTTGTGAGCGCGGGCAAGAAAGGAGCGCCTGGTTGCGGCGCGCTGCGGAGGAAGTAATTTATGTGGATGGTTTGGCTCGTCCTGATGTTTTAGTTATTTTTAGCATATTCAAGGACTTAGCTATGTTGGTTTCGTACTGAGCATTTGCGCGGCATAGAGGTCTTCCAGAGTGCGATGGGGACTCTAAATAGGACACTACTGAGCTGTCATAGGCGTCCGTGGCATGCTTCTCCAAACAGAAGTTTGAAATGGTAACAACTCCTGTTCGGAAGCAGTAGGAAGTTTCTGAGGAAGGAGCCCCAAGGGATGAGTCAGGACTTGGTTCAGTATTTTCTCAGTGGTATCTGAGACACATTCATATGAAACATATTCTGACCCCTCTTTCTCTGCCGATGTATGAGTCATAAATACAAAGTGTGATTATTAATTACTATTATATACTTTTGAACTACAGGGGGTATGTTACAACCATCCTACATTAATGCATTTAAGAAATATGTGGGTAGATCCGCTTCTACAAGCAAAACAACATTTGTTTTAAACAGATTAATTACAGTCTTTGTAATAAGGTCTTTGTTCAACGTCTCAGTTTTATTAACTGGTAGAAAAAATTTTAATTATGTTTAGGCATTTACATGGTAGGAAGGAGGATAAGGCAAAACTAATCTCCTTGCCTACCTTTCTGTGGAAACATGAAAATGTGCTGGATGGAATGAATGATCCATCTGTTGTTGTCTAAGAGGTATCAAAAGTTTCAGAAATTTCCTCTAAGAGTTAAAAATAGAGTGAAGCTCTCCAGATCCTTGTAAGCAGTGTGGCTCCTCCTGCTGCTGAGGACATCAGGGCTCCATGTGGCACTGAAGTCTTTTTTCACTGCCCATTAAATCAGTAGATAAGCACAGCAAGTTGTTCTCTCAGACTGATTTTATCTTTGCAGACTAGGGGTGGAAACACTGGGCTGTACTGCAGATACTCTCCAGCCTGCAGGGTCATGTGCTCCAGTGCTAATCTTGTTTGAGGTGCAACAGGGATTTGCTCTCTGAGGGTGCCAAGTTAGCGCTTTGCACTTTGTGAAAACTAAGCCAAACAACAAGTTTCCCATTAGGGTGTTTACAAAGAGAGATCCAGAGCTACTCAGAAATAGTGTAGGTCTTTAATATATTAGGACAAAGAAGCTGCATGTTAATGGAGGCTGTTATTAAGAAGAATGTTTTTGTGAAATACAGAAGCTACATTGGATAACTATGTCCTTAAGATTTTCTATTTAATATTTATCTGTCTACTGTTGATAGTTGATTTATCTGTTGTCTTTTATCTCCTGATCGTTGCCTATGAAGACTCGTGATGCTATGAATAAATGAGGAAATGTCAGAATATTTGAAGTTTTGTTTAAATTTCATGAAAATTATATTCTCCTCAAAAAAACTCAGAACAAATGTGGCAGTACCCTAGATTTCTATGTTTGTATGCTGAAATTTGTGGCCTGAAAAAAGCCCAACCCAAAATGAGTTGAAATGCTTCAAAAGAATACATTTTTTAGCTTTCAGCAGTTTGCATTAGGATTTAAGAATCAAGGTAAGATTTCAAATTTTTTTTTCTCCCCAACACAGTGTGTTGTTTTGCTTTGATTATTCCCATTGCACAAATAGAACAAACAAATCCAGCTAGACTTTATTCCTAGAAGTGTGGTAAGGAAACATTTACAATACTCTGAGCAGATGTACACATTTTGGAATATATGTATATTCTCATGTCCTAATTTTAAGTCAATAGGCTGATCCATGGATTATTTTGAAACCTTAAATTTTATTTAAATTGTGTAAATAGCCTGTAGCTATGTGTTTCTATGATTTTCACAGAGTTGACTTGGGAATTATATACGTTCAAAATGGAAACATTTTCTTCAAACGTGAGGCAGTTTGAGGCGGTGCATTGCAATAGGACCCTGGACTGTGCTTTGCTGCCCTCAAACTGACGGATATATAGCTATTAAATAGTCTGATGTTTTGCAGAGCTCAAAAAACGTTATCTGTATAATGGATTAAAAATATTCTACGTGTATTTGAAAGCTGGCACTGTTTATGAAATGCTAAATGAATCTTACAAATTATGAACTATCTTCTAAGTCTACTGATTTGTCTTCCTCTGCTCTCTTTGCTTTATCAATTATTTTGTCAAGTGGATCTTGTCCTTCCATTAAGTTTAGAGATCTAGTGAACAAGTAACTATACAATAACTATAGTACCAGGCATTATGTTTGTCCATTTACTATTTGTTTCTGACATGGTTTTGAAAATTAAGTGGAAAGAATTGTTGTCTCAAATGCGTAAGTACGGTGTTGTGGGTTTACTTTAACCGAAGTGGAAGGCTGCTAATGTTTCTGAACTTGAGGGTTTCAAAATGCAACACTATATTCTTTAGGCAGCTGTGGGAATGGGCTTAGAGCTCCAGCAGAAGTGGAGTGATGGATACCTGTCCTCACAGGCTTGGCCAAGTCTATAGAGCATCCCTGGAGAGTCGGTGCACGTGTTTTAAAACCAGCCTCCCGCAGCGCCCTGCTTTGCCCGGGAGCTGTACGTGCTCCCTTGGATCATTCCTAACTTAGGAAGTTATTTATCATATATTGGACTTCTCTTCAAGAAAAATCATAAGCAATTCAGCGTGGAAAAAAAATGGCGCATGTAGTGCTGCAGAGAAAGCATTACAGTTTACAAAGCTTTATACTTTCTGTTTTAAGGAGCAACAGCGAATATGCTTGTGACAAAACGAGGGCTGCAGAAGCCGCTTTTGGTGCTGTTCAGCACTCCCAGGTGGGCAGCAGAGCAGGCGGGTGAGACCTTGCCCTCAGAAGCTGCTGGAGCGAGCGCGGCCCTGCGGTGGGGGCTGTTCACCCCTTCAGGCCGACCACAGAGCACCTACAGCTGCAGCTGAGGGAGCTGGCGTTCTCCAAGCGCTTCTTCAACTTTCACCGGCTCTGTCCTCTGACCACTTCCCTGGGGAGCCCTGGGCCGCCTGCTCCAACCACTCCCTGGATGAAAACATTTTCCTAATATCTAACCTAAACCTCCCGCGACTCAGCTTCATGCCATTCCTTTGGGTTCTGTCACTGATCACCACAGAGAGATCGCTGCGTGCCCCTCTGCTTCCCCTCACGAGGAAGTTGTGCAATGACGTCTCCCCTCAGTCTCCTCTTCTCCAGGCTGAACAGACCAAATGAGCTCAGCCGCTCCTCGTACGGTTGCTTGGGTTGGAGCGTGGCGGGAGAAAGGGAGGGAGCCGGGGCGGGTCTGAGGGGCCGCTTGTGGGCGCGCAGTTCAGCCGTTACGGCCCCCCCCGCTTTGAACTTCCCGCCCGCGCTGCCCGTTCGCCGCCGCAGTTTCCAGGCTCAGCGGACGGCAAAAGCCCCGGGTGGCCGCGGCCTTTCTGCGTCCCCTCTCGGGCCGGTGCTGAAGGTGGCCACCGGCCCGGTCCGCTCCGTTCCCTTGGGTCCGCCCTAGGCTGGTGCCTCCGGCGGCGGCGAATCTGCCGGGCTGGTCCCGCCGCTAGCGCGGTTTGGGCGGTTGTCAGGGAGAAGCAAGATGGCGGCTGCGGCGACGGAGGAGGACACGGAGCTGCGGGACCTGCTGGTGCAGACGCTGGAGAGCAGCGGGGTGCTCAATAAGATTAAGGTGGGCGAAGGAGAGCCTCCCGCCGGCGGGGAGCGTTGGCTGGCGCTGGCGGCGCTTCGCGGCCCTGCGGAGTGTGGGAGGACCGAGGCTTCCCGGGCTTCGTCCCCACTCACTCCCGCTTGCAGCCGGTGTTCCCGGCTGGAGCGCTCCCTCGGCGTCGCGGCCTGGCGGTGGCGCCTGCTTTCCCCGTGGTGTTCCCCGGCCGCTCGTGGTGGAGCTGGTGCGAGGGCCCGGGGCCTGACCATCGCCCGGCGCTGCCCCGCGGCTGCGGGAATTCGGGATCCCCCGGGCGGGCAGAGCCAGGGGAGCGTGGGGAGCCCGGCCCCGGCTGTGTGCCTTCGCTCTCGGTGCCGTGTGGCCGCAAGAGCTCCCTTGCTGCCGCCAAACTGGCTGGAAGCAATGGGCAGCAGCGTGGTGCGGGACGGGGTGGGTGGAATTAATCCCTGCTTCCATATGGAAAGCCCTTACTGAAAATTTCAAGCGGGGGTTGTTGTGGGTCGCTATTATAAGCACTTGTTCTTCTTGAGTGTGGGTTGCTTCAGTTGTGCCTTGAAGGCTTTCTGAGTCTAGAAACTCTCAGGGGA